ACTCTGGAGCTGACGCCACGGTCCTACCTGCCTCATTCCTTGGAGTTGGAGCTGAGCTTTCAGAATCAGCCCCTCGCCTCCAAGATGCTCAAGGAGAACATATCCAGGTGAAGGGATACAAGAATGTGTGCTTTTGCTTCAGGACGGAGCAAGGGACGGAGGTTGAGATTCATGAGAAAGCCCACTTTGCGGAGGGCATCAATCAGCCGATCATCTCTTTTGGGAAGATGATGCAAGCAGGCTGGGGAATTGATGGAGAGGATCGAGTCTTGACATATGGAGGAGGTTCTCACCAGATCAGAATCCCCTTGAAACTGCAAAACAGGAGCCTCATTGCAGAGGGCTATGTACGGGCTATTCAAACCGTACCGTACACAGTCAGGGTGCTGGAGGCAAAGTTGACGAAAGAGCTAGAGGACAAGGCAAGGATGCAGAGTGGATGGGTCAGAGCAGGAGACAGGTGGATAGGGATTCACCTGGGAAAGAGACTGCAAACACCCCAATATCATGGGGAGATCAACTCAAGGGTGAGTTGGTACAGAACGACCCTGATCAAGCAGCAAGGCCGTTGGCAGATGGTAGAGCTATGTGAGGCACTACATGGACTCACAGAGCAAGAAGAGATAATCGAGGAGGCCAAGGGTGAGAATGTCCTGACGATGACCATCTTGACGAGAGAAAGCTGCACGACAGAGGAGCTAGGCTTTGAGGTCGACACCGGCATGGAACTGGCTGTTCAGCCAGTGGAGAGGAGAGATGAGGAGCTGCCCATAGAAGAAGGCAGAGAAGTTGAAGAGGCTCATGACGAGCCTGTGAGGGAAGAGAGCATTGAGCAAGAAGGAAGATTGGTCGCAGGAGGAGCAATGCCTGGGAGTCTCATGGTCAATGGGATAGAGCTGACCCAGGAGTCAAAGCTGCGTGAACTTCGAGCGGCATGTGGTTTCTATGGCATAAGCACTTCCGGCAGCAAGCTCAAATGCTACCAGAGGTTGGTGAGCTACATCAAGGAGCTTGAGATAAAGGCGGCATCAGCAGCAGTGGCAGCTGCTGAAATGGAGGTTGCAAGGAGGCCGAGAGCGCAACCCTTAGTGAAAGTGCCCTCGGATGAAGAGCAAGCTCTGCATGAACTGACCCACACTCCATATCAGCCTTGGTGTGAGACGTGCTTGATGCATCGAGGACGGCCAGACAGACATCTCCGCACTGGAGCGGCAAGGCTATCTGGCATACCGATTGTCAGCATGGATTTCTGCTATACAAAGGCAGGAGAGATGGACCGTCCAGCACCAATGGCTCTGGAGGAAGATGGGAGAGAGGTGGTAGACCTACAGCAAGAAGAGGAAGCACCACGGGGTCAAGACCTACCTGGAGGAACAGAGATGAGGTTTAAGGAGGTGAAGAATGCCCTCTGGCTGGCGCTGTCTTGCAGCCAGACAGGGTCACTGGCAGCAGTCCCGCTGCAATCGAAGGGCCAGTTGAGTTTGATGTGCAGGGAGACGATGACCTTTATTCAGAATTTGGGCCATACAGAAGTGGGCTTGTATGCAGATAATGAGCCAACAATGAGGGCCCTTTTGCGCATTCTGTTGAACTCCCGCCATGCACTCGGACTTCGGACGAGGATCTATACAACCCGCGTGAAGGATTCAGCAGGCAACTCATTGGCAGAGAATGCAATACAGAGGATCAGAGGATTGGCTGGTACATTGATGGAGTCATTGATGAAGAAGGTTGGATTACGGTTCAACAGCAACCACGCCCTATGGAGTTGGGCGGCGCGGCATGCGGCATGGACCTTGAACAGATACCAGGCCAGTCGAGGAGTCACAAGCTTTGAATTGACCCAAGGAAGGTCGTATGAGTCACCGCTGGTTCCATTCGGGTGCCCAGTGTATGCATACTTGAAGCCTCTCACTGGCAAAGGCAATCCGAGGTGGAGAATGGCCATCTTTCTGGGAAAGACTGAAGGCCAAGATGCATGGGCTGTGGGAGAAGGGCAGAACGTGCTGCTGACCAGATCGGTAAGACGCATTGACAGGCCCTGGTCCAAGTTCATGACATACTTCAGAGATTTCACTGCACACAGTTGGGAGTTCCAAGTCAACTTCGGCGGGCGAATTGTGCCGTCGAAACGCGCGGTGGGACCCATTCCCTTGAATATGAGGAGGAAGAGTCTGCCAGCGGACCCAACTCTCTACCAGGAGTTTGACGAGGAGGCTAAGGCAGTTGAGGATTACGCAAGATCCAAGGAAGGTCAAGAAGAGGCAGAGAAAGAGATCCAGGAGGTCCAGATGATGCTTGGAGCAACGGAGGAGGCAGTTTCGGGTACCTTGGTTGCTGAAGGTGGGGTACCAGCCCCAAGAGCCCCGCAAGTTGATGAGCGAAGCCTAGGATTGCCAACAACTCCAGTTCTTGCGATGAAGCACCCTGGAGGAGAGGGCTCAGAAGGATTCATTCCGATGGAAATTCCCCCCATGCCGTGGGAAGAAGACAAGGGGCCCCAGGAGGAGAGATTCCTGAGGAAGACACCACCGCCACCATCGGCAGTCAAGAGTGAGCCTGAAGCAAAGAAGCCTCGAATGGAAAGCTTCAAGAAGCAAAGAATTGAGGAAGAAGGAGCTACATCATCATCCAGCACGGCAAGGAAGGAGATGGTGGAGCGAAGAGTCGAAGCAGTGAGCCTCGAAGGAGATACTATGTATCATCTTGACGAAGTGATAGACGTGGAAGCCCTGGAAGTGGATGCAGAGCAAGAGGATGTTGAAGATCTGAAGCCAGGAGCGATCCCTGATGCCCTATGGAGTGATGAACCCCTCAACAGGACACCACCTCAACCTTCACCTACCATCGAGCAGCTGGCAGATAAGGTGGAGGAGCAAAGGCTGAAAAGAATGGGGGTGATCGCCGATCTAGAGACGGCAGATATGATGCTGGATAGACTTACCACAAAGTTTGTCAGAGATTGGCGTATCAAGACCTGTGTGAGGGAAGATGGAACAAAGGTGAAGAGATGGCTGAGAAGGTCGCGCCTAGTGGCGAGAGAGTTTGCGAATGACAAGAGAGATGATGTGTACAGCCCTGCGAGTGGAAGCTATTCACTGAGGCTGCTCCCGATGATTTTCCTCACTATGAGAGAAAGGGACCAGGAGATGGATAGCAGCAGTGGAGGAGCAGTGCTGGGCGCATTGGATGTGAAAGATGCCTTTCTGCAGGTTCCCCAAGAACGACCGCTGCAAATCTCCACGAGCATAGGCAAGTACAAGGTGCTGAGAAACCTGCCAGGTCAAAGGGTAGGGGCAAAAGCTTGGTTTGAGCATGTACAAAAGCACCTTATCGAAGACCATGGATTTACCTTTGATGTGATCAATCCCTGCCTCGGAAGATGTGGAGAAGGAGGAGATAGAGTCCATGTATTGATACATGTTGATGATATCATGTTTACTGGACGCAAGAAGGCAGTGGAGAGGTTTGTGGACAGGCTCAAAGCGGAGTTTGAAGTTGAGGTATCAAGAGTGGAGGAGAATGGCCAAGAGTTCTCGTTCCTAAAGCGAACCTACAAGCTCAGTCCAGAAGGTTTGCTGGTGAAACCAGGACAATACGCCGGCAAGATGATTGCGATGTTTGAGGAGACCTTTGGACAAGCAAAGAGACAGAGGATCCCAGCGTCGTCAGACATCCAAGACACAGACAGTTCAAGTCTGGTGGGACACCAAGAAGCAACAGCTTTCAGGTCCATCACCGGAATGGGGATCTATCTAGCTCAGGAACGACTGGATATAGCCTACACCATCAAGGAGCTTGCGAGCAAAATGTCGAGTCCCACAGAGGTGGCAGTGCAGAGGATGCGCAAGCTGGTGGGCTACTTGAAGGAAACAGAACATCAACACATTCTGCTTCCAAATCCGGTCAGAGGAGAAGGCATCAACACCAGAGGAGAGAAAGAATGGTTGTTGGAAACCTTCAGTGATGCAGATTGGTCCGGATGCAAGTCCACAAGGAGATCTACCTCATCAGCGGTGCATGCAGTCAATGGACTGATAGTGTACAGCAGTTCTCGAGGGCAGAAGACGATAAGTCTGAGCTCTGCAGAAAGTGAGCTGAATGCATTGGTTGCAGCAGCTTGCGATGGCATCTGCTTGAAGCACAGCCTGGAGTTCCTCACCCAGGAGGAGGTGGAGCACATTTGTTGGGTAGACAACTCAGCAACCCGACAGATCGCCTGTAAAAGAGGAAGTGGAAAACTACGTCACTTATCTGGAAAACTCCTATGGTGCCAGGATAAAGTTGCTGATGGCAGCATGTCAGTGAAACAGGTCAATACAGCTTTGAACGTGGCTGACATCGGCACAAAACCCCTGTCCCGAGCAAGGCTAGACCTATTGCTGTATTGGTGCAATGCAAGAGCAGGGGATGGGCATCGTATTGGAGAGAGCCAGTATGAGAACTTCAAGGAACAGCACTTCGAGAAAGGCCGCATCATGAAGATGGCAAAATTCCTCAACAGATTGTTGATTGTTGGCGGTCTTGAGCTGGCTGCAGGGGCGAGAGATGAGCAAGTGATTGAAGAAGAAGTTCCCTATATGGGGTGGAGGATCATGCTAGTCTTCATTGCAGTGGCCCTCGTAGCAGCTGGATTCGCATGGATGTGGAAGAAGATCAAGCACTTGGAATGGGCAATGAGGAGGCTGCAGGATGAATTAGATGTCCAGAGAGCGGACTTCTCCAATAGCTTCAATGAGTTGGAGCTTACATGGAGTATGCAGGCAGACTATGCCCAGAGGATTCACCAAGGCTTGGTCTATGTGGACGGCTTCGTGCAGGATGAGTCAGTGAAGCCTGAGGAGTGGAGCAAGTTAAAATTCATGGAGAAGGTCAACAGGAGGCATGATGGCCTGAGGATGAAGAGACAATGGGCATTGGTAGTGCAAGCAAAGGAGGAGCGCGGTGCAGATGGACTACCTCAGCGACCAACGGCAGCGACAAGAGGAGAAGATGAGCCCATGTCATCAGAGGATGGTGTGGATGACAGGGCAGGAGCAGAGCAGCCGTTGCTGTCAGGGGATACAGCAACAGTTGAGCTTGAGGATGGAAGAAGGGTGGAGATTCCGGTTGAGTACCTGGAGCCACAACAGGAGACAGCTGAACCGGAGCCGATCCCAATGTCGGAGACAGAAAATGCTGATGATGAAAACATGAGTGAAGCTGGAACTCAGCCAGAAGGAGTTGAGTGGAATCCAGAGCCAATCGAGCTCCCGGAACAGGACTACAAGTTCCTGAACGAAGTTAGCACACGTACAGAACTCAAAGCTCGTAATGAGCTGACGAGGATAGAGGCGAGTTGGTTCCACTACTCCCGAAAGGAGGATTGGGCCATGGAGCGGAAACTCTATCCTAAAATGGAAGAGTGCTTTAACTTCATGAAGTGAATCGGTCAATGAGCAGAAGCTCAAAGACCGAAGGAGGAGTGCGAATGAAACAGATAAGCACTCATCCATGAGCATACATGTCGTACACCAAAGGTGTTACATGAAGGCCGCCATTTCAGCTTGGCAAAAGGATCCGCACTATTTGATGCTGGCCATCCATTCCTGGTAGCAGTGACACCACATTTCTTGGCACATAGTAGCGTCCTTGCTCCTAGCAGTAAGGCCAGGAGCCCCTAGTAGCGTCCTTGCTTCCAGTAGTAAGGCCAGGAGCCCCTAAGGTGATGCTGAGAAGTTCTTGGCCCTGAAGTGGTTCCACCGGATTCTGATGTACTTGCACTTGCATTATGACATGGAGATGCCCGAAAGGACGTCAGACTGGATGAAAAAAGAACAGCGGGAAGGAAAGAAAGCGAAAGCGAAAGCGAAGAACTACGAAAGAGGCCTTCTTTGTAGCAAGGGGTCATTAAAAGTCCATGATGCAAGGCAGTCATAGCAATGTTGTTTTGAGTTCTACTTGTGCTGGTAGGTTGGAGGCCATCGCTACTAGGGTGGAGGCCATCGCTAGTAGGTTTTGAGTTGTACTTGAGGACTCCGCAAAATGGCTTGAGAGCCACGGAGATGGAGAATGCATGGCCGGACTTGCGTCGTTGCGACTGCCCTGAGCCTTGATTTGACACTCCTCAAATTCCACAACGCCTCCAAGATGAAGCATTCTCACGTTCACATGTTCGAGAGTCTAGGTTCGAAAGTGAACCAGAAAGAGCTGAACTTGTTTATTTAACATTGCTTCAGTTGGGGACTCAGGAGTGCAGGCCAGCACCACACTACGAAGACATCGATGATCTCAATCTTCAGGATTACCAGGCTGGGTTCAACGGATGGACCAAGAGAAGTCGCCCAGGTGCGTCAGAGCATTCCAGACCTTAGAAGTAGCAAAAGGAGATGTTACATGGGGTGCAAGGCAGGTGAAGGCACCAAAGTCTTTGGATTGGATTATTGGATGTTCTTGGTCATAGGTGTCAGTAGAGTTATGAGTCGTATGAGTATGATGAGTATGATGAGTATCAGTTGTTCTTGTTCGGAGGTGAAGAAGGGACGGAATCAGAAGTGGGAGACGAATGCTCGGGAGAAGGATGCTTGGCTTAGAACATCGGAGTGTTGGATTCAGTTGCAATGGCCTTCAACCTACTCCTAGTAGCGTCCTTGCTCCTAGTAGCAATGCCCTTTGCTCTTAGTAGCGTCCTTGCTCCTAGTAGTAAGGCCAGGAGCCCCTAGTAGCTTCTTGCTCCTACTAGCCATGGCCCACAGATATCGTAGCAGCTCGTGTCAGCTCGCACGTCCCCGACTTGGGAGGCAAAAAGGACTCGACGCCTGAATTTACGGGCGCCAGTCGATGGCAGCGCCTGGGCAAGTTTCAAGCACTGCCAGAAAAAATCTGCAAAAACCTGGGCCGAGCCCGAGACATGCCAGTCTGTTTGGGGCTCAAAAAAGAGCTTCCTGAGGGGCCTTTGACCTGGAGCGTGGACGAAAGTTACCCGCCACCTGTCTATAGCATCGGGGCTTGCTGGGTCAGGGTTTCTGGGTAGTCTGCTGCCAGGAAACCTGCAGCTTGCTACTGGTATTGCTATGACATAGGCCATAGGAGTGAGTGCAAATGGCTGCATCTTCTCAGGTCACCGACATGAATCCATGGGCTCGGCTAAGGTACTGTTCTCCAAGCCGAAATCGCGGAAGCATGAGACGTCCTTCTTGAAGCAGGACTGAAATGAACATAATTCAGAAGTGAGTTAATTCCACACCAAAGGACCAAACCCATCACAAGACCAATGCTTTTGAGCCGTGCCTTGTTTTCAGGATCTGAGAGATCTCCACGACTTTCAAGGGCACGTGCGGACGACATACCGTTCTGATCCAACAGCACCTCCGGAGGAGGATGACATTTGGGTGGAGATAAAGTACAAAATCGTCAGCACCCCATGTGAAGAAAGTGGCTTTGATGACCACTACGAGGTTCGTGGCTTTCGCATGTTCAAAAGTGGTATTGCAGTCTGAAACCTGTGGCACGACACTTGTTTGAGGTCGGGACTGGCTTTTTTTAGAGAACTCTGTCGCAGGCTTGCAAGGGCCGCAATCGCAAGTATGATACGGATGCTTGGCTTGAGACGTACGTACTCGCTTTGTGCCGCTGGAAACTGCTCAAGTCTTGGATTTTGGACTAATCTGCTGATGTTAAAGCAGGAAACAATCATGCCTGCTTTTGAATTCTGTCCTTTTCTTGTTTCTTAATCAAAAGTGATTTGGTCTTATGCCTTGAAGGGTGGTCTCGGTCTTCAGTTCACCATACGTGCACACCCTAAAGACGTAATCAACGCGAACCGCAAACCCCATCAACGGTCTCACTGCCGTGGAGTTGCCAAGGCAAGAAGGAACCATCGCAGATATCGGCGCACACCAGTCGCTTTCCGTGCTTTGGAAGAGCTATCCTTGGGAAGAGGAGGGCTCCCTTTTGCAACTTCAGAAACTGCACTTGATATCCTTTTGCTGTCACAAAAAGAAGCTACTAGGAACAAAGGGCATCGCCACCAGGAGCAAGGACGCTACTAGGGGCTCCTCGCATCGCTACTAGTAACAAGAAGCTACTAGGATATCAAGTGCATTATGTTCACATTTTGTCTGAAACACTTGCGGTGTAACTTTCGCAACAAGCCAGTGGGCCACGGGATTCTTCCACAGAATGTAGAACTTAACAACCGCAATAACCCATTCGGCCGGCATTCTGAAGCCTTTTTGGTAGCCTTATGGCCATTCCTATTAGCGGCCTTGAGTCACATCGATTCTTCCTGTTGCATGTACACTCTGGAAACACACTCTGACATTGGTTTTCAGTTAACTCAATTGCCACGGTGGGAAGGAAGGTGAAGAACGGTAAGGTGAAGAGTCCGCAAAACTTGTAGATGTTTGAACAAACTGTTTTGAAGTCTGCAGAAATCACTAAACGCACGGTGCAGCTGCAGAAACGCGGTGGAAAAGGTTTGGGGGTGGTATCATGAAACACCATGGAAACAAAAAGCGAGAGTGGACAGCTTGTCAACAGTTGAAAAGGCAGGTACGTAGTTCTGGCGTCCCAGAACTATATCACTGTGCGACAGATGTGTCTTCGTTGGCTGGAGACATCTGAAGCACACTCCAGCCCCCTGCGTGTAAGCACCCTTCGGAACAGGGGTTGACACACACACACACACAGCGTCCTTGTTCCTAGTAGCGATGCCAGGAGCCCCTAGTAGCATCCGGGTTCCTAGCAGTAAGACCAGGAGCTACTAGTACCAAGAGAACTAGTTTTTCACATTTGACAGAATGTCTTTTTCGCAAGCTAAAGGTAGAGTTGATGTGACCATGATGTGAGGGGGTCGCATCGCTTGAATCGCAAAGGAAATAGTGCTCCCAGAAAAAGTTGATGTGACGTAGTGCCTTCACTGTAGGGAGGCCATCGCTATTCCTAGTATGGCATTCTGTTCTTCCTGTTTGTTTTGCTTTCTATCGCCTGTACACCTTGAGACCTTTAGCGGATAATTGTGCTTTCTTTCTTTGTCCTCTTCGGATTCCTTAGGAAGCGGTCTTTTGTTTCCCCAAGTGTTGGGCTGTTCGGGTGACTTTCGTGACCTGCTGAGCCTCAGGTGCTATGAGGGCGTCTTATTCTGCTCGCAGCGCACGGAAGTTGCCGACAGCTTGTCGCCGGCATCACGTGCCTGGGGCTTGAGTATGCTTGAGTCACTTGAACAGAGAGGACTGTTCCAACAAAAAGGAAAAAGACGGAAGGAAAGAAAGTTCCAAAGAAAAAGAGAAAGGAAATTGATGAATTATTCAAGTAACAATGAATGCTTTTGGAAAATCTAGCTTTAGTGCATTTGGTTGAAATCGGAACCATTTGACTTCCTTTCTGGCTTCCTAGTGGACTACTGGCTAGACCAATGACATAAGTGCCAGAAAGTGCTAGCTTCCTAGCTTTTACGATTCCCTGGCTAAATCGCCTCAAAGCAGCCTAGATGTCTATCGACCCTTTATCCTCCCTGGCTCCCTGGGAATTGCAGAGTTCTTCTCACAAATGACGTGGACAGCACACATCTTTAAAGAAATCAAAGGAACGTTCAAACCTGACCCTTGCTTTCGCTTGCTTTCCCTCGTGTCGATGCACCACAAGAGCCGCTGGTCCAAGGTGGAGCAGGCTTTGCACAGGAAACTCCGGAAAAATTGGAAGTTCCTACTCATGAAGCAGGAGACAGAACATAGTACGTTGTTTTTCTTTCGTGCGAGTTTGCTTTTCTAATTTGAACGTGCTGAATGAGACTTCTGCGTTTGCCAGGAGCTCCAGGAGCTCTACTGAAAGGGTAAGATGTACTTGAATTCCCAGCGTACAGTGCAGGTTTTGCCCCTAGCGCTGGCCATCTGAAGCAAGTGTACAGAGCAGGCATTCAGCGGCCATGTCGCAAGGGGGGGGAGTCCCCCAAGTGGAAAAGCCCTTAGCTTGTGCAGTGCGGAAAGAACGTGTAGCTTCTCATATTCCGCCTGAAGAGATTGCCCGCCGTTGTTCCAAACCAACAGTGATATCCCGTGTGGCAAGGAAAACAACGCGAGGCTCTTCCCCGCACACTAGCAATAGATTTTGAACTCTAGCAGCTCTTGCAACTAGCGACAAGAACACGTGTGTTTCTTCTCGGTGTTCTTTGTTGCCTTCAAGGCCGTTCTTCCTTTCTCTTCTCAGAAAGAATGCAAGACCTATGGCCGCACATAGGGGCTTTTCCCAAGCTCAAGCACCTCACCTGGTGCCATACAGGTCGAGGTCGGCCAAGTTCGCTGTGCATGGCTTGCTTGGAACAACATGCAAGTTTTGCTCGTCACCGGGATCCCAAGGTACTGCTCTACGATACCGACCAAAATGAGCATTCACAGCCACTCCTCATTTGTTCCGACCAGATTCGAGCCTTGCTCCTTTGGGGCGGAGATCCCCTGACCCGGAGCAGGCAAAACATGCATCCGGAAGCGAGTCTGCAAAATTGCTTGATTCCATTACGTCAGGGGCTTGCCCAAGACGGACACCTTTGAGAGCAAAGATGTTCCGTTCCCATTTCTGACCCTTTTCAACTTGCTACGTGAGGAGTCACACGAAGAGTCGCTGGAGTCTCAGACGTGGCACAAGACATGGAGGCAGACTCTACACTTTGTTGGGATTCATCGGACCGGATGGCGTGGAGCAGACAACTGGAGCGGTTTCAAAAGTTGAGCCTGAGCGCGATGTTTTAAGCTAGAAGCTACTTGTAACAAGTGCATCGCTTCTAGTAACAAGTGCCTTA